TGTGACGATTAACCTTCTAGCGCTTCACATGCAGCTTGGGTTATCCGCGGGGTAATAATGATAATCAGATTGTGACTGCGCACTTTAAAGCATGCTTAGGCGTGGATATATGCGCGGTACAAATATGCTGTTGTTATTATTATTATCACTTATATGTCATGATAAAATGGAGACTGGTCAGTTCACTTAGAGCATGGGTAAACTTCCAGCTGATCACTCGAGGACTTTCAAACAATGGTCTCCAGATACGCCATGTCACCTCCCCTGCAGCACAGTCGATAGGTCCTTTGGTAGGCAACCAGAAGCTGGATGTACTTGGGAGACACGCAACTTCTAAGCGTAACAAATTCTTGTTGTTCGTGAAGACGCTACATTGCTATTTCTTGTGCCTTCATCAGGTGAATAGTAAGTAACCACGTGAAGGTATTATTTCGTTGGAATTCTGCTAGTTTCCTGAAGTGTTATCTTCGGTTAGCGACTGCATGATGTGGAGTATTTTGGTGTACTTCTTTGAGTGGCACTAAAAGGTTGGCGTTATGAACAAGGGGGTAGTTCTATGGATATACAACTTATTACAATATATTTCCGACGTTTCGGTGTAGATGCTATTCTGTTAAAAATTGTATAGCCATAGAACTAACACCTTGAATGTTGATTCTAGCACGACATTGTGTGATACTCGATTCTGATTGGCTGAGAGCTCATCAAAACCGTACTTAAATGGCTGCTTAAGACCGCTACAAAGTGGCCGATTCACCGCGTATGAATACAATGAACTCGTTGACCCTATTGTTTGTAAACAAACATGTCGGACATCGGCAATTTCTATCTCGGCAGCATCTTTGGTGTTTTTGAAGTAAAAAGCGAATGGTTTGAAGAAGAATTTCTTGACCCTAATCCCAGTGAAGAAACTACGAAGCTGGAAAATCCGTCAGCAGCGCAAAAGCGACAGTATATTCAAACCGGGTCCAGATCTACGTGTGTTGACGTCGACAACACACGTCGGCCCACACGTCATAACCTGGGCCCCGTTCCTCAAAGCGATCGTAGCGCTACGACAGTCGTAAGTCTATGTTAAAGTATGGGAGTTACGGCTGCCGTAGCGCTACGATCGCTCGAGGAAACTCGGGAAGTCCCACTCCAAGATACATAGCGTCCTAACCTGACCGCTTCTTCCGTCCCGGCCATAATGCCCAGTCCTTCCACTTCCACTGTCCATGTATCCCACATGAAACGTGGCATGTCAGGTCCTTTCCAAATTGGGAATAGTAGGGTGGTTATCAACAATTATTTCCGTGAATAAAGTTAGCGGCGACTAAACTTATCGAGTTCACGGCTTGAATTTGGACGAGTCGATTGTCATACAGTAGGGGGGAATCAATAATTCTCTTGAGAAAAATCAAATAATTGTACTTGCTCACAGTATAAACTGTATTTTTTATTTATGTATGTTACTTGTTACAAATACAAGCATACTGGTTCCTGATTTTATTCATTACACAACCTGTCCCTCAACGGGACGATTCCAAGCGACTTCCAGGAAAAAGGCCCCTTCGCGCCTTGTCTTCTTGCGCGCCAAACAGTCGTGCTAGGTTATAGAATCGGGTCTTAAATCAACGATAAAGGACCGCAAAATTGAAAACAGAGTAGTTTTATCTTCTAATTTGCTGTATCAGCAAATACATATATATCGTGGTTGATTGTTGATGTGGTGTTCCCAAAAGAGCAGATTGCACTTTACTTTCCAAAGCTAACATGAATAACAGAATGAAATATCTATGTTGCCAAAACTGACATATTTACCCTTTTGAAAAAAACCCACATCGTTATTCCTTAACACGCTATCAAGTTGAGAATTAGTCTGCAGCAACCCATGCTTCTCGATTAACGTGATGGGGTGGTCAGGCTCGCTGATTTTGTTGATGCATGCCATCGTATCACAGTGGATTGATTGATTGATTGATTGATTGATTGATTTTATTTCGGAAACGTAGGCCATGATGTTCATTGTGTTAGCCACTGGATTGTTTGGTCCAGACTCGTCCGTGTACTGACTGCCGTCACGTGATGATATAGGAATGCAAGGAGTAAGGTGGCCATTAGGAGAGACACCAAGACCTCTTCCTTCCCAGCTGACTCGATCTACTCTTCTGTGACCTGACGCCTTCCTTGTCATATTATTTGGTTGAAATCCTTCTCGGCTCTATGTTGTCAGGATAAAATAAATTCTTTTCATCAATTTTTAATTAAACAGGCAAATGAGTTACATCTACAACTATGACATTATGAAAGACCTGGGGGCACAAAAAGCACGAAACAATAGCCGAGGGTACATCACAAAACCTGTAAAGCGTTCGCTCGTCACGCCGAAAACCCTGGTTCGATTCCCACATGGGTACAATGTGTGTGTGGCCGAGATGATTTTATATTTGTTTTGTAAATATTTTAGAAATATGTTTTAGGCCATTAAGTGCCTGTACAAGCTATAACACGTACACAGTATACAGAAAGTAACAATAGATTTACCCCAGCAATTATATAACTCTTAACTTCACCATAGCCACTGTCACTCTAATGACAAGCGCATTGCATTGTCTGCCTTGTCCCATATCCTTATTATGTAAGTCTCCTTGCCTACAGTTCAACTTTATTTCATCAAGCAGTTGTCAGATACTACTCTTACAAGTCAGAGGTCTTACACATGTTATGCTGAGCAAATAGTTTGGTTTTTTGTGGACTGAGTGGCTGTGGACCTCACTTCTATTTATGTATATATATAAGGTCAGTTTGTGTTTTGCTTTCATATTTATGTATTTATATATATGTCTGTATAGTTGTATATGAATTAAATGCATTAAGTTAATGCATTGATAAGATATATTTCTCTGTTGAACCAACAAATTAACTTGCCATTGAGTGTGTGTTATTGACTAGTAGTTCATAATTAGTATATAAGTATATATAAAAATGTTCAGATATTCTACCAGCTTTGAAGGTATATAATTTCTCTTTTAATCCATGAACTTATGTCCTATATTTTTAAATTGCCATTTTTCCTGGTTGCTCATCATTGTGTAACATTTGTAGAATATCCCGATTGGACACTGCCAACTTAATAAGCTGCCAGCTCATTGCCACACAGTGGTAAGTCAGGTGTACATATTGTATATATTGACTATATATCTTGACAATTTGTGGAGACAGTAATGTGTCGGCTTCCTAAGTATACATTGTAATCTGCACGAGTTAATCTATTCAGTTTAACTGTATCTACTGTTCCCTTTTGTATATAATTCATAGATGTTATGTGATATGGCTGGTGTAATTAATTTATCAGATATTTTAATAGTATTTTTATATAATATTTACAGAGCTGGAAACTGATTAGTAAACTTTGTTTACACAATAAAGAGATTGCTGTCGGCTCACATCCCAGTAGCTGTTCTGCGTTATTTTTCCAACTGGAACCTCGCCCGCTGCTACATTTGAAGCCCATTTCTGGTGTCCCCCGCTGTAATATTGCTGGAATATTGCTAAAAACTCCCTCCCTCCCTCAAACACATCAGTCTCCACCGATTGTACTTGAAACGATATGCGATCATGCTTGAGGAAAGTCGAAAGTAAAGATTATACCGTTTAAGAGTATGCGTGAAGTGTCAGCCTTCACATGATTAGAGCAAAATAGTGTATATTACCCAGATCAATATGACTTACTTTATACAAAATAGTGTATATTACCCATATCAATATGTCTTACTTTATGCACAGAATAATTCAAGGGAGAGTAAGATACCCATCGAGATGTGTGTTTTTACCATATTAGGGGATGGAGTGACCCTTTGAAAGAAAGGCTGTTATAACTTCTTTTTTTAAATTACAGAACATATCTATACACAGATCTAAACCTATAGTTTGGCGTTTAGTTGGGGTAAACTTAGATGCTAAAGAAAGCAAATGCATCGTTAGCTTCAAATGTGTTTTTGCCTGCGAAAGGCTCTTCGCGGGACAAGCCTAAAGTCGACAAGAGTAGTGTCCCCTGTATCTGAGACTATACCCACGAGCAGCAGCGTAATTTTCCCAATTCATTGCGATTTTCTCTATTCATACAAGCAAATGAATGTAGATTTTCTCTATTCATACAAGCAAATGAATGTAGATTGTCCAACAAACTTATAAGTAAATGAGTCATGTTCATCACTGGATTGTCTGGTGCAGGCTTGACCATTGCCGCTTCATACATAGCTGGAATATTGCTGAGTGCGGCGTTCAACAACATGCAAACAAACAAAATAGTTCTTGGTTGTTAATGAACTTAAATCAAAATACAAAAGTAAACATTTACATTCTCATTTACTCGTGTCACCTGGTAGACCTAAAATATAACACAAACATCAATCTGTAATTAGAAAGTTGATATAAGGCATTATGGGTTCATGCAGATCGACACGTGTTATATTTTATGAATTCCCATTTGGGTTCATGCAGCCCTCCTGTTTTCGCGCAGTCGTCCTTGGAACAACCTCATTCAAGGTTTAAGAGCAACTTGTAATAAAGTCTCATAAGCAAACCTTATTTAAACACACCATACAAAAACATAATGTCTTGAGTTACAGTCAACGTGGAAAGCTTATTTCAATTCCACAACATTACAAATTCTGAAACAAATCCTTATTTTCTAGATATTATTACTGTTCATTTAAGCATAAAATCTTTGAAGGGCATTTGCAGTGGAAAAAACAGGAAAAGCAAGATTTTATGGATGTCAACAATAAAGAAGTTGACATCCATAAAATCTTGCTTTTCCTTCTTTTAAGCATATTTTGCGGAGGGAGGTATATTTACAGGACAGAGCATTTGCTCAATTGAAAGATTAATTCTTCATAATTATGTTACTTCTTTGTATGCAGTCGTCATTCAGCAGGTGATGATAACAATCGGAAGTGCTTGAAGAGTATACGCATCATCTCGTCAACGAGATTATCTGAAGGCAAACGGAAACTGCCGATTGTGTGTTTGAAAACGAGGCTACATTCAGAACTGGAAGAAGCCATGGCTGATTTTGACAACGAAGGATATTCTGAGAGAGATCAGGATGTTAAACCTGATCGCCAAAGGTAAGTTGAGGATAAAAACATACTGTAGATATATCTGAGCCCCAAATTTGCACATTTCATGTATCTGAAGCGCTGAACATGCTAAATTGCGTGCACGAAAATTGGAGCACTCCACGCTGACCAGACCAACTTTGAGACGCCGGCCTAACAAAGACCATTTCTTAGTTGCCACTGAGGTATTAGATGAATTGATTGTTTTAGTTAGTTAGTTAGTTAGGAACCAGATCAAGGTGCACATTGTGAATTTCACCAAATCGGTCCTAAAGTTCATACCATCGTGCAACGAAAATATTTGTAAAGGGGTGCTTGATCAGAAAGGGCTTCCAATGATAGAGTTTGAGATAATGTACCGAAACGTTAGGATCGGAGCTACATGAGATATCTGTGACTCTGCTGTCTGAGGAGGCATAACAGTAAGCTGCACCAAGTAAATTGCAGTCGGCTAGAATGCACTTTACCGGGCGCAGCCCTCGCTGCTCCCTTTACGATCCTTAGGGTTAGGGTATGGCACCCTTTACGATCCTTAGGGTTAGGCACCCTTTACGATCCGTAGGGTTAGGGTATGTCACCCTTTACGATCCTTAGGGTTAGGGAAGGGTTAGGGAACCCCAGCAACGCTAATTAATGTGCGTCCGTATGCACTTTACCGGGCGCAGCCCTCGCTGCTCCCTCTACTGCCTCTACGATCCTTAGGGTTTAGGATTAGGGTATGATACTCTCTACGATCCTTAGGGTTGGGCACCCTTTACTATCCTTAGGGTTAGGCACCCTTTACGATCCTTAGGGTTAGGCACCCTTTACGATCCTTAGGGTTAGGGGTTAGGGAAACCCAGCAGCTCTAATTAATCTGGTAAAGTGCAGTACTCCCGTTTTGGCTAGAATGCACTTTACCGGGCGCAACCCTCGCTGCTCCCTCTACTGCCTCTACGATCCTTAGGGTTTAGGATTAGGGTATGATACTCTCTACGATCCTTAGGGTTGGGCACCCTTTACTATCCTTAGGGTTAGGCACCCTTTACGATCCTTAGGGTTAGGCACCCTTTACGATCCTTAGGGGTTAGGGAAACCCAGCAGCGCTAATTAATCTGAAAAAGTGCGCCCAGTAAAGTGCAGTACTCCCGCAGTTTTAACTAATTTCTCTGGGAAGTTTTATACCCCAGATTATTTTCCCAATGTTCATGTTAAATTCATTTTCATGTATACCTGTACAATGCCGTACGGTAATTCCGCACAACACGGCAACTATCGTCTCTTAATTTTTGTGGTTTACGTGACTAAACATACTGGTATGCATCATATTTACCTAGAAATATAAGTCTTATTGACGACTATAAGATTCTAACGTTGCATTATGTCATACGGTTGACCTTACCGGCGTTTTGATGACATCGCTCGCTGTCCGGTAATTCTGCGCAGCAACTGATGCGCTTAACATCCAGCTGGAGATCCAAAGTATAGACTGACTGACTGAGTTTAGTTTTACGCCACTTTTTTAGCAATATTCCAGCAATATTATGGTGGGGGACACCAGAAATGGGCTTCACACATTGTACCCATGTGGGGATTCGAACCCGGGTCTTCGGCGTGACGAGCCAACGCTTTAACCTCCGAAGTATGGAAGCATATTTGGGCCAGATTATTTTCAAAAATCACTTCATCAATGTAAGGAAGAGTGTTTCATATTAAATCCAACTATGAATAATGAAGAATAAAGGTTTAGAAATCTGAAGAAAACGAATTTTCATATAACTGTCAATTTATCTGTCAATTACTGCTATTTACTTACCTTTAGTGATTAAAAGCCAGTCCCTTGTAGAAATGTCCCGATTTCAAGCGTAAATGTAGTAGCAGACGATTTTACCTTTGATACTGAGTATGCTATTGCAGGTGCGCAGAATTACCGGAAGCGCGTAATTCCCGGACTCACTTGTATATTTTCATTATTTGTTTTCTGATTCGTGTTTTTTAACTGAATCTTTGATGCCAAAGGATTATAACTTAGGGACTGAAACATCACCATGATCACATCTTTAATGGTTATTAACGTATGCTACTCTTATAATAAAATTCAGGGCGGTGGGGTAGCCTAGTGGTTAAAGCGTTGGCTTGTCATGCCGAAGACCCGGGTTCGAATCCCCACATGGGTACAATGTGTGAAGCCCATTTCTGGTGTTCCCCCTGCTGTGATGTAGCTGGAATATTGCTAAAAGCGGCGTAAAACCAAACTCAGTCAGTCAGTATAATAAAATTCACAGAAACGTACTCTTTGTCAACTAATTAATATTTTGCTTTCTTCCCAATTCCAGTCTGCGACGGTCTAGGTCAAGGTCACCAGTCAGGCGGTCCCGGTCCCGTTCACCAAGACGAGACCGCGATAGGGACCGTGAAAGGCGTCGTCCAGTCAACCTTATCTCAAAAAGAGTCATCATTAGTAATATTCCATATGAGATGAAATGGCAGGATATCAAGGACTTGTTCAGAAAGGAAGGTCAGTCTCAGGAATTAAAGTTTAACATGAACATTTATTTGAAGTGATTAAGCAATTACAGTTTGAATGGCTAGTTAATTCATCATTTCATTAAACTTGGATCAGAAGAGTATTGCTCCTAAAATCTAGATGAAGTAATTAAAAGTTATGACTAACATATCATATGGCAAAATGGTTTATTAGTCATTGAGTATCTCCCAGTTACACTTGAAATTATTTCATTTCAGTTGGAGAGGTTGCATATGTTGAACTTTTTGAGTTACCTGATGGGAAGCCCAAAGGAGTTGGGTAAGTGTTCTTTTTTTTTTCAAATAGTTTTATTCAGTTCAAGAATATACATATATTAACATAGTCTTTATATACACCACATTGATTCAATCTAGATACATTTAAATGTCAAATATCTAAATGTCAAATAAATTTTCACGTGTTTATACCAAAAGATATACTGAGACTGGAACTATTGAAGCATGTGGAAAAGGCGCATTACAAATGGCCATTATTATTAATGAAAGAGATACTATTATATGTGAAATGAAGCATGGAAGTCATACTCATTATACTTTCATCATTTATCAAATATTTATGATCCCCTGATTCAAATACTATAAGAGCAAAGCTCAAGGACTCTTACTTTATAACAGTGAAATAAGGTGTCACAGTGACATAACGGTCTAGACTTGAGATAAATGGTAATTTCTTTGTGCAACTGTAAAGAGTAGAAAGGTGCAGAATGGTTGCCTGTTAGAAGCATTAGACTAGTTCATTTGTAACGTGCATTTTATGTTCAACTAACATTGATGACATTTGGTTTTCCAGTGTGGTGGAATTCAAAGACAAGGAAATAGCTAGGAAAGCTATTGAAACCATGCACAAATACAAACTGAAGGACAGATTTATGGTTGTCCGTGAGGTTTGTTTGCTCTTTCACAAAATTCTTCTTGAATAATTCATACACACTGCAGCTTATTCATTTTAGATATAATCATTTTGTAGTTCCAGTATAACCATAACTGTTTGTTAATGATTGATACTGCCTTTCAGATTTATTTTTTTAAAGAAAGTCTAATGGACTTATTTCTCCAGTCCTCAGTCTGTATGTACCTGTGTACATTTTCTCTAAGTTTTAAGGGCGGTAGGGTAGCCTTGTGGTTAAAGTGGTCGATCGTCACACTGTAGATCCAGGTTCTATTCCCCACATTGGTACAATGTAAAGCCCATTTCTAGTGTTCCCCAAATCAATATTGTTGGAATATTGCTAATAGTGGCATAAACCTAAACTCACTAAAGTAAAATAGGGCTGGTGTGGATATGTTTATATATATGTGGATATACAAACTGTTTCTGGACATAATGATTGTTGACCTCAGTGATTAAGTTTTAAGATGTCTTTCATATCTACTTTGTTTTTCAGGAACGTGAAAATGACATGAGGATGCAAGGAGGCATGGGTGGGGGTGGAGGTATGGGTGGGGGTGGAGGAATGGGTGGGGAGGAGGCATGGGAGGGAGAATGGGTATGGGCGGTGGAGGTGGTGGTGTGGAGGAGGAGGTGGCATGGGTATGGGAGGAGGAATGGGCGGGGGGATGATGGGAAACATGGGAGGTGGAAGCATGATGCCTCATGGAATAGACAACCAGACCCTTCAACAATTAGGAATTGAGGGTCCCGTCACCAACACAGTGTTTGTTGCCAATGTAAGTAGAAAAGTGTTAGAAAGTTGTCAATACATATTTTCACCTAGAAGGGCAAGAAACATGAAACGAATAAAGCATAGACATGCACATTAATTCCTAATTTTTCGGAGGCGACATTTTGTCCAGTTATTGTAAATGTTATAACATTTGGTTGGCTTATTTAGAAATAGTGAACAATTGGTATATATATTATATAGTGTAACTTTTCATACCTAACCAGAGTAATTGCTATATTCTTTGGTAGCTTGACTACAAAGTGACATGGAGGAAGTTGAAGGATGTGTTCAAACTTGCTGGTAATGTGCTGAAAGCTGAAATCAAAACTGACAAAGAGGGCAAGAGCCGTGGCATGGGGACTGTGGAGTTTGAGATGCCCCTTGAAGCTGTACAGGCAATTTGTATCCTTCACACTGGAATCTCTATTTGTCAATATGTAAAGCTGACTGGTCATGTTTATGTAAAACATGCCAGTATTGAGTCAATATTGACACCAGTCTCCAGGGCAATCTGGGACACTTAATGTTAGTATTTCATGCGTTATAACAAGTCTCAAAACATCTAAGTTTGAAGTTTGGTTAGATGCCCATAAAAGGTTGACTGAAAGGTTTTATGGAAAGTTTGATCACTGACGGATAAGAAAGGGATGATACTTTATGGATAACAACTTCTTTATTATATTATCATTATATTATCATTACATTTTCATGCAATGTTTCAGTATAGATTCTTATACCATTGTCATATGATATGGATGTTATGACAACATCACACCCTGCTCTTGTGTTACAAGTATATTGATGATTAGTGTACAGCTACTTTAACATGTAGTGGTTGTTCAGTCACAGTTGTCATTTTAGTGAGTTTTTGGTAATTGTGCTCATGGAGTATTGAATTGGTACTGATGGAGATGTGGACAGCTTCTGCATGTGTAGTGGAACCTGACATTTTCAGAGCAATTTTGTGAATTCTGGAAAACTTATTATTGCTAAGTAAAATTATGTATTAGAATTAAAATGGATGATTTTAAAGTGATTTGTTTCCCTTAACTATGTGAGCTATGTTTAACGGTCAAACATTGTATGAACGCAACATGGTGGTCCGGATGGATAAAGCAAAAGAAGATCAGCCTCCACCAATGCCCAAACTTCCACGTAAGTTCCTGCCATTTAAATCAATCATCATCATAAAATTCTTTTTTACTTTATGTAAATCCTCTCGAATATCTGGAAGAAGACTTTTAGTTCAGTTTTATCCGGCGCCACAAGGTGAGGGGTATATAGGTTAGATATCTGTCTGTCCAAGATTTTCTCAGAGACCTTTATAGATACGGAAACCAAATTTGATACATGTTTTCAGGACACAAATTCCTTGATGGAGTTCGAAAATGGAAACCGTCTTACAATTTGTTACAGTGTTATGGCCCTTGTTATGTGTTTCTTGACTTGGTTCCAGTATCCCCAATGGGAACAGATTTTCTCAGTAACCATTATCAATAGGGAAACCAAATGTGGTATGTGTTTTCAGGACTCATGGTGAAGTTAAAAGGAAAACTCATTGGTTCAAATGAAAAGTGTTTTCTGTTGCAGCTGGTTTGAAGTCAATTGGTATGGGTCTTGGAGCTGGTGGAATGCCATTGCATAATAATCCACAGATGTCCAGTAAGTCTCATTGAGCATTTTATTTTAACATTACAGATTTGATGATATATGTTTGCACAAAATAATGGTCCCCAACATTTGCTTTGTATGGTCCAGGTCACTTTCGGGAGAAACTTTGTAATATCAGTCCTAATGATGAAGTAAAGAGTGAATATATCCACTCAGCATTTCCTCTAGAACAAATCCTGCTGATACTACTGTAGAAGCCTGCTCTACACAATAAGATTTTACGTTAACATATTCTTTCTTTAAGATGTAGGATAGTTTGTGTGGATAGTTTGACATATGACATATCAATCCCCACTGTTAAATGTCATCAGACTGTATTGTCAGTGAGCATCCTTGTTTCATTATCATGCTTGTTGTGTTTCAGACATGGGAGGAATGGGCAACATGGGAGGTGGCATGGGGATGGGAGGAGGCATGGGGATGGGCAGTGGCATGGGTGGTGGGATGGGTAGTGGTATGACAGGAGGAATGGGTGGTGGGATGGGCACAGGTATGGGGGCTCAATCTCTGGGAGGTGGTAACATGGGCGGTGGTATGGGTGGTGGGGGAATGGGCAACATGGCGACAAGCATGGGTGGTCTTGGTAACATGGGTTCCATGGGTGGTCTTGACATGAACAGTGGGATGGGAGGTATGGGGGGCAATATGGGAACAATGTCAGGAGTAGGTGGCAGCATGGGAATGGGAACAGGTATGGGGAACACCATGGGAACAGGATCCATGGGAATGGGCACTGGCATGGGCAACTTTGGCATGGGGTCAGGCATGTCGGATAATTTTAGCGGAATGGGCAACAATAAGATGGGATCTGCAAGTGGAATGGGTGACTCATTCAACAGCTCAATGGGTATGACTGGATCAATGTCTAACATGAGCGGAATGTCGGGCAGCAACATGATGGGCGGGAGTAGCATGGGCGGCGGCAACTGGGGCTCCAACTCTTCCAATATGGGAGGTAGCAGTATGGGATCAGGATACAGTGACCGAGGGGATAAGTCCCGCTCAACTAGACCTGATGCCTGCACAGTTATTGTAAAGAATGTGAGTATCTAGATTTGTCTTGGCTATTTCCATTCACAACACTAATGGGCTTTGGAGACTCACACACATGAAATGAACAGAAGAGTAAGAAAACTTTATATAGCTGAAGTTTATAGAGCCAAGCAATCCTTTTAAGTCCTTACGTTAAACTGAAAACATAACTTTAGGTTTACTTTTTCAGCTTCCATACTCGTTTTCATGGCAAGCACTGAGACAAAAGTTCAAGGGTATTGGTAAGAAACTTTCTGTTGTTGGTATTAAAATTGATGTTATAATCATTAACATAATTCAGATGGTATTGTTTGTAAGCGATAAAGCTGATCTGTCGTTGACATTTCTGAAGAGCCAAGGTGATTTATTTATAGGTGATGTGAAGTTTGCAGAGATTGAGAAGGAAAATGGTCGATCAACTGGAGTGGGTCTGGTTCGGTTTGGCAATGCAGATGATGCACAGAGAGCTATCTGTATCCTTTGAAATTTACTTTGAGTCAGTCTGCTTGCATGTAGATCCTAAATCATCTTGTATTATGTTTAGCAGATTTTAAACTTAAATGTGGGCAATGTTTATAATGCCAACTGGTTTCCAACATTATACTACTGGATCACTTTGGATTACAGTTTTGATAGTATTTTGCTTAATTAATACCACAATGTGTTACATGAGGACACAGATGCTGTATGTCTTGTTTAAGATTGTTTTCAATTTACCCCTTGTTCAAACCAGGTAAGTGTATTTTGTAAGTAACTGTTGTTAGACCTTGACCCTGTTCCCAGCAACCATGAATCGAGCTGACTGTGATGGCCGTGAGATCTGTGTGCGTCTCTACCAAGGCTGAATATGTGAACCCAAATCACATGTACGTACCCCATGGGTCATGTGACATCAACATTGATATAGCAGTTCAGTGGCATATTGTTGCTGATTCTTTCTTTTGGGCTCGATTTCCATGTGCAAAGTTGTGTTTCAGAAACATTCATAAGAGACATTGGCCATTGTTTTTGAAGCAAAGAATTGCTATAAATTTCTGAGGAGATATTATAACCTCACTGTATTCATATTGTACTTACTGTACTCATTCAGTCTATAGTTCTTCAGTCTTGTCTCATTGTTAGTTATGTGCAGTGAATATGATGATCAGGATCAAGGTTTGATACTAATTTCAGTCACTGAATATTTTCATACGTCTAATATTTTTTATTATGTCATTAGTAATTACTTCAGTGGTTTTTATGAAACAATGTATTGTCATAAGGGATTAATAAATAATGTGAAAGGATATAAGTTGAATTCAAATTTTATTGTGGAAATCGCTTCCATTGCATGGTTATCGGCATGGGGTTAAATCAGTATAGATTCCTGGTTATCAGTGTATTGATTATAGACACTGGAAGGGGCTTGGTTGATGAAGAACAATTTTCTGGCAATAAAACAATGATCTTTGTTGGTCTCTATGATAACTAAATTGATTCAAGTCTTGAAAGCGAGTGTTGTGTGTTCCTTTGCATTTTGTAATACAGGAAAATGGATTTGAAACCAGTTCATTTTCCTGGGTTGCTTAGCTATCAAGACACTTTTTGACTCAAAAAGTAAATGTCAGTGGTTTAATCTAACATTTGTGGTGACAAATTTTGAAATTTTGTTACATGCTGTTTGGGTGACTGATCATTGGCTGCTTCTGTTTTGGACTCCTGGAGATTCTGGATGTACTTTTGGTGGAATGTGTGGTCAAGTATACCATGAATGGTCAGCAAAACAGTCCACTCTTTGCCTTAACCATGGCCTGAGAATGTCATCACTGCTGAGAAAGTTGTTCAACTATGGGGAAGGGATGATTTCTTAGTTCAAGAGAACTGTTTTGTACTTAGTTATTCAATGCTGTTCTTTAATGCGTCTATGTTAACTCGTTCAAGCGATAAGATTGAAAGGAATTGTAGCAGTAGTTTTATGCTTAGTAGAAAGACACTTAAGATTTTCAGGTGGCAATTCTCGTCACGATCAGTATAGAAACTGCTTCAGATTAAGTTGTTTTTGCTTGATAGTGTTACTCAGTGATCCAATGAGAACTGTAGTTATTTTGATTTATACTGCTGCCCACAGAGACCGAGAATAGTAGCAGCTAGCAACTGGATATATATTTTGTCAGGAATAATGTGTCTGTTTTACTTTCTTTTCATATTGCAAGTTACTATGTACATGTTGAATGAAGCACCAATCCACAGACCATTAGGTTTCCATATTGGTGGAATTTTCATTTCTCAGAACAATAACCAATCGTGACACTTTTGTGATAAAGGATACCATTTGGGTATTGAAAGTGTTCACTGTGTGTGGATAGTCATATTCCTTGAGGAACAGCACTTGGAAGAGGTGTTTGGCAAATGTCAGTGGTCGATCATTTGCCAGTTAATGTGGATTTGGTCATATGCTGTCAGACAGTTTACATGCTTTTCAACGTAGAGTTGATTGTACAACATGGCGGTTGGATGTTACTGTCTTCCTCTGGTGGTGGAGTAAGTATGTCTTGGTGAGGACAACTTGTTCCTTGCTGTGTGTCATGTTTTTTGTCATGTGTGTTATCAGCTTAAACATAATAGATGCTCAATTGTCTTTCAAATGTTTGACAGTTGCAAGGTTTTCAGTAATTTATTGCTATTTTGTCCTCCATGTTAATTTCACTGATAAACGAGGTAAAAGCATTGCTCATGTTGTATAACAATTTTGCTGTGTATCATTGTCTGGGATTTTGACATGAGAGAAGCAGTATTTTAACACCATTATCAGCTGTTGTCTAGTAACATCTAGAATATCTTGGCTTGGCCTCCTGCAGTAGATGTTGTGTGTGTCTTTGACATTATATGAAATAGAGGCTGGGTAGACACCTGATTCGAGGGAGATTACTTGGTAGACAGCTCATTCAAGGGAGATTACTTGCTCAATCAAGGGAAGGTATCCCTTGCACCATGTGATTGTGGAATCTTGAGGCCGACATCAACATCGGAGGAGTTGTTTTCCAAGTTACAGGCAAATGTGTTGATTTCATTTTCTTCATTGCTTTGTTCATAAATATTTTGGTCACTGCATCAGTTGTTATAATGCTTGCACATTTGTAACCTCTCCTCTGTTGCATCTGTATTGGAGGTAATGATTGGGTTGTTTCCGTCAATTGTTCTCCTTCCCATGTGAAGGACATGTTATCTTGTGCAAGCCAGCCCGCAATGCCTAATATTTCTAACTTGCTTTATGATAATAAAAACGTTTGTCATTTCACCCTGTAATTTGTAAAATGTAATTTCAAATTAAATAAATATATGATGGATACTTTATTAAATGGTTCAGTTTAATCATTTGTATGATTCATCCTTTTCTGAAAGTTCATGTGTAAAGCATGTTTTTCACACTTGCAGGTGAGTACAGAAAGGTGATTTTTTCCTGACCATGGAAAGTTCAGCTATGGGAGCAGGCTCTGTCCAGGTGAGCTAAACAGTCTCTAGAAGGTGTATAACAGCCATTACAAACTGCATGATCACATAATGATGACTCATCAGGTGGCTGAAGAATGTGTGACCACAGTAACCATGGAAACTGTTTCAGATGTGATAAGCTTTAAATGGTTCTGTAACGACAGCACAGGGATGACATGACCCTGATAATTAGAAATAGGGCTGTAAATCTTAAGTTTGTTAGTGACTACAAATTTCATGATATTGAATCGTTACTTGAAGCAACTTTGTAACACTATTGTTATGCACGTTTGTAGGATGGTAGAGTGTAAACACAAAACCATTCCATTAGAAACAAACGTACTGAACTTGCCTGAAACATTTTTGACTATACTAGTTTTATACTCTTGCTTCATGGTGGTATTTCTTTTCAGGGTTGATTGTAAGGTTGAAGAATGCCTTAGATTAACAGATAAATCCTGTTCAGCTCCACCAAACAAAGCTGTGATCATTCAACTGATGTCAAACGTGAGTATTCTCAGTTGTACTAGAATTCTTAAACCTGTATCAAAATAGTTAGTCTAATACAAAACTGGACCACCAACCTACATGTGTCTTCTCCACATGATCAGTCAATAGAAATGAATATCAAGGTGTTCATTGTATATTTGGACTTTTGTTTGTAGTTTGTTTTAATAATTAATAGTAAAACTTTCATGCAATAATGTTTATGTTGATACAACAAAATCATGTATCCCCCCGATAGCTAACTAGTATTGTTTTCCCTTTATATAGACTTCATTGCTTCGGTACTTCAAGTCCTTTATGTTTGACAAATTTTCATTTACTCATAACTTTGTACTCATGACAAACATAGAGTGGTGGGGTAGCCTAGTGGTTAAAGCGTTCGCTCGTCGTGCCAAAGACCCGGGTTCGATTCCCCACATGGGTATAATGTGTGAAGCCCATTTCTGGTGTACCCCGCTGTGATATTGCTGGAATATTGCTAAAAGCGGCGTAAAACTCACCTCACTCATGACAAACACAAGGGTATACCCTTTTTCACATTTATATGGTTTTATCAGATGAAATATTTGTATGTTTTGCAGAACTCCAGGTACTATCACATGCCCCAAGACAGGAGCTTGAGGTTCAAGGAAGTGGACGACTGAGAAGGAAGAAATCAAATCTTAATGATTGTAACATCATCAGTCTTCATTAAACACTTGTACACATCAGTCATGTTGTGTGTTGCTTCAGCTGGGATACATGATCAGTTTTCTGTTCTATGTCTCCCTATTGCTGATACAAATATTTCCTAAATATGGCTTGGATAGAACAGTAAGCGTAAGAGGGGACCACATGGATTGGATGGTCAGGCTTGATAACATATCACCAGCACACAAAGTCAATAATCCAACCCACTCAGCCATCGTGGCATCCAGGAAGAAATCTGACAACTTGTAGTCCAGATCACATAATGAGTGTACCCATCTGACAAGTGTAAACCACAGGCCCTTTGCGAGGATTAAAGATATTAAAAATATAAAACATTTGAGATGACCCCGGTGATGTATTGTACTGTGTAGCATTTCGAGTGGGGGGGTCATCTCAAATTTTTAAATTTTTTTCTTATCCTGACTCATGATCTTTTGCTTATCTCCCTTTCCTTTTCGAATGGTAGTGGAAGACTTGAATGCCTTGAAGTTCCCGAAGCGGACATAAAAATACACTCACCCACGAGTTACTGCCCTTTTCCCGCGCAAACAGTCATCTGACCATCCTTAAGTGTTACACTACCATTCGAAAAGGAAAGGGAGATAAGCAAAGTATCATGAGACAGGATAAGTATAAAAATATAAATTTTACTTGAAAAAGCCTGTTTCCTAAACCTACCTTGTGTCAACATTAGCATGTATGTATATTAACACAATTCTCTTACTTAGCATGTTCACTTGCTGAAGAACATGATAGAATATATTTCTTTTTTTTAGGGCATCATCCCACATACAATGTAGACATGATTAATAGCTACATATTGACAATTGGGATCAAAAGTATGGATCAAAAGCATATTTAAATATTAAGCAGCCTTCAAACGGCAAACTAAAGTTTGAAAACATGTTAAAATTTTAAAATTTGTCAAACACACTTTTTCACACGTCAAACTTTCATGTCATTTGAGCGATGCCATTTTGTAGGTAGAGTTGACCAGACGACCAAAACATCACGTGACAATTTCGTTGACTGCGATGAGTTGTTCCTAAACAACACACGTTTGACAACACTTCACACGTCAAACTTGAGTTTGACAACACCAAAGTTTTATGGCAAGCTGGTGAGAATAGAGACCGATCCTACTTCTTAACAACAGTTTGACAACTCTGAAATTGGTGTTGGTGGCGATTTGTTGGAATCTTCACTCTCAACCTCGAGTTTGACAACATGTGTTGTCAAACTTTAGTTTGCCATGTGAAGGCCACTTTAAAGCTTACAATACATTTTATCAGAACCATTATATCTCTCCATGTCAATATTGTATGAAATTTACAGTTCGTGTTGCACTGATCGCAACCTGTTATGTGTTAATTTCTAAACAACACAGTAGCCCAGTGGTTTAAGCGTTTGCTTGTCAAACCAAAGACCTGGCCTTGATTCCCCATATAGGCCATGAGCCAGGAGCTGAAAATTGACATGTTGGTACCAGAGGGAACAAAAGTTTTAGTGTTTTTTATATTCCTTTATGTCTCTACATATAAAAAATGTATGATGGACATCTCAAGTTGGTAGCTCAGACTCAGAACTAGGCTAAATCCAAGATGGCCGCAAGAAACACCAACATTTTCAGAAAATGTCAATTCCATGCTTTAGTCATGAGTAAAGTTCAGCAAATAGGTTGGATATGAAAAAAAGGAGGTAAAATGCTGCCAACATGATTAAAAGGATTTAATTGATATTAAGTTTTGTCATTTGATACCTTTAAATCATATTTTTTCCCGATTTTGTAAGAGTCAAAATTGTAAGTTCAAAGAACGTTTCCAAAAACTTCATTTAATTCATTCTCATTCTGAAGACAGGTCTTCGATTTATAAGAGTGAGAGCGCCTTCAAGTTCCTTAATTTGTGTGGTGATAGTCAGTGCCTTACCAATGGACCATGACATGCCGAAGAGTGACACTGATGAAGCTGATGTTTATGATGCGGAACAGTGACTATCACTACTCAAATTAAGGAACTTGAAGGAGCTCTCACTCTATCACAACACAAATTAAGGAACTTGAAATTAAAGACCTGTCTTCAGAATAAATTAAATGATAAGTTTTTGAAAACGTTCTTTGAACTTACAATTTTCACTCTTACAAAACCAGCACAAAATATGATTTAAAGGTATCAAGTAACACAACTTGATATTAATTAAATCTGTTTAATCATGTTAGCACCATTTTACCCCCCTTTTCTCATTTCCAACCAATTTGCTGATTTCCAACCAGTTTGCTGAAGCTTCGATTCCCCACATGGGCACAATGTGTTAAGCATGACTAAACTCAGTCAGTCAGTCAGTCATGACTAAAGCTTGGAATTGACATTTTTTGAACATTTTGGGTTTTTTGGCGGCCATCATGGATTTAGCCTCGTTCTGAGTCTGAGCTACCAAACCGTCATGGCCATCATACATTTTTATATGTAGAGACCATAACCACTTCAAAAAACATGAAAGTGTTTTGGTCCCTCTGAGTGGTACAACGTGTCAAGCCCATTTCTGGTGTCCCCTGCCGTGATATTGCTGGAATATTGCTAAAGTGGCGTAACACCAAACTCGCTCACTCACTCACTCACTCACGTAACAACACATAGCCACCACACAGTGTTAGTTTCAATGTCAGTACTATTACACAATTCTTAGGAATACGACGCTCTGACACTTGATTGCCTTAATTCATGAATTTTACTTCTGTTCAGGGTCAACTGAAATATAATTTTTGTCTTGTGTCGTCTTTCTTCCAAATAGTCTTCCCAAACCCAATCCGTGGGCGTTATCTCCCCTAACGTAAGCGCAGGAACTTAATAATTCTTCCTATGGCACACATGAACGCGTATGTTTACTTGTTCTCTGTTATAATTTACTCATTTTTCCAGGTTATTCTTTTCCATTTTGATATCAATATGGGTAAATCTAATGCAGCAAATGTATCTCAGCCTTCCTTTCGGGTACTAAATGATCCACAAGACCCCCATGTGTAATGATGGGAATGTTTAACCACGCCATGTTACTGTGCTTCCCAATGTGACCACTGCCCACAAGTTTCGCCTACAGAGGAATACCAGTGACTTAGCCATCAACCATGACTTTGACTTTGCAGCACAAACTTCACCTGGGGACCACAACTTGAATCTGCAGCACAACCTTGTACACTTACACCGGCAGAGGCTCAGCGAACAAGTCATGGTTCACGACTTTATCCCTATGCAGGCGTACCTAGATCAAGAGCAAGTTATGAATCAAGGACATTAGGAGGTCAGAGCCAGGATATCGAAGTTCCAACATTCTCCACACACTCTGCAATGGATGTTGCTATTAGGAACTCTTACATTTACGCAGGATGTTATATTAAGACGCAGACTGCATCTAAGATTCATTCAGAATTGCATCGAGGGAAACAGCAAGCCTCTGTCATCTTGTGTTCAATGACCTTGCATGGTGGGAGAACCTAACAACGTCATACATGGGAATATATTCAGAATCAGGATGTTTTTGCCAGATCGTCATCTCTTCACAGATGCTTCACTGACAGGATGGGGAGCTCATCTAGAAGACAAGAGGGAATCAGGTCTCTAGGAGAATCACCATTTCACATTTCACATGAGACGGCAGCAATATTATTAGCCATACGGCACTGGGCTCCAATCCTCAGGAATTCCTCCTTTCTAGTTGCCATGGACAACGCCACTGCAGTTGCCTATATCAATAGAGTCGGAGGAACCCATTATCAAGTGCTCATGAACTTACGAGAGCACTTAAATGGGAACAACC